GAAGCTGTCGGATCACTTCGATGAATTTGTCTGGGCATCCGAACTTGCTCATGATCTTCCAGAGACCGTCGCGACTGACGGTGTCGAATGCTTTGGTGAGATCGACAAATGTTGTGTATAGGTCGACATTTTGTTCCTGGCAATTTTCCTGCAGCAAATATCATGTCGGTGGTACCTCGCTCTTTCCTGAATCCACACTGGCTCTCTGGAAGTAGGCCCTGCTCAAGATGATCGATGAGCCGATTAAGGAGAATCCTTGCGAGAATTTTTCCAGCTATGCAGAGGAGAGAGATGCCTCTGTGATTGTCGCACACCTGTCTGTTGCCTTTCCGTTTGTAAAGGTGGATGATAGACGCATCTTTGAATTCCTGGGGGGCAATTTCCTGGTCCCATATGACGTTTATCAGTTGGTTCAACTTGTTGCGCAGCAGTGGTCCAGTATGCTTGTATACCTCTGCTGGGATTGCATCAGCACCTGGAGCCTTGCCAGAAGATAACTGATGGATGGCTTTCTCTAGTTCCGGTAGTGTTGGAGGGTTGCCCATGTTAAGGTTGATGGTGTTTTGGGGCAGTCTGTTGATAGCCTCCTCGTTGATGTGGGAGAGTCTATTTAGGACAGCATCAAAGTGCTCAGTCCATCTGTCAAGAATGTGGGCCTTCTCTGTCAGCAGTTTTTGTCCGTCCGCGCTCAGTAATGGAGATGAGCTCGCTGGTTGAGGTCCATACACCGTTTTGATGGCATCATAGAAACGCTTCATATCTTTCTTGTCAGCGTAGTTTTGGATCTCTTCATCCTTCTGCTTTAGCCATGAGTCCTGCATTTGTCGTAGTTTCTGCTGGACTGGACTGCGAATGTTGTTGTAGGCAGCTTGGTTTGCAGGGGATTTGTTGTTTTCAAGAACTCTTTGGATCCTGTATTTTTCCTCCAGAAGGTTATTTATTTCATCATTGTTTTCATCAAACCAGTCCTGGTGCTTACGTTTGGTCTGGCCGATAGTCTCATAGGCTGTTCTATAGACCTCGTCCCGGAAGGCTTCCCAACTCTCTACAACGTTGTCAGATATCTGAATTTGTTGTGCTCTTTCTTCCAGGGTCTCTCTTAACTCTGTACTGACTGCTTGCTTCTTCAGGCTTACAACATTGATGCGTTTGGGTGCTGGCTTCCCCTGGGGGCGTCGCTTGGGAAGTATCCTGATGTTTATTTTTGAAATGATGAGGCGATGGTCCGTCCAACACTCTGCACCACACATGGCCTTGGTTACTCTGACGTCCTGTCTATCTCTTTGCCTGACGATGACATAGTCGATAAGGTGCCAGTGCTTAGAGCGGGGGTGCATCCATAACGTCCTGTTATGGGCAGGGAGACGGAACATTGTATTGGTAACCAGAAGTTCGTGTTCAGCACAAAGCTGCAGGAGGAGAAGGCTGTTGCTGTTCAATCTACCAATGCCATTCTTACTGAGGACGTTCTCCCAGGACTGGTGGTCCACACCGACTCGGGCATTGAAGTCGCCGAGAATAATCAACTTTTCAGTTTTTGGCACAGCTGTCACAAGGGAATTCCTGTTTCTTTCCTGTGAGTGTCAGTTTCATGGTCATTATTCTGTCGTTGATACCTTGGGGGAGGCTGCTCAATTTGTTCATAAGCTCATTCCTCACTGCAAAGCCAACGCCAGCTTCACGGCGGTTGTCTTTGGCTCGCCCACTCCAGAAGAATGTAAAGCCTGCTCCAGTCTCCTTGAGCTGTCCCTCCTCGGCAAGGCGTGTCTCACTAAGGGCAGCAATGTCAACCTTATATCTTGCGAGTTCTCGGCCGACCAGTGCGGTTCTTCTCTCTGGTCTAATTGCCAGTGCGTTGTCTAGTAGGGTGCGCACATTCCATGTGCCAAAGATGAATGGCTTCATCTTGATCTTTTGCTTCTTGTTGTTCTTACCGCTGGTGTGGGATCCCCGCCAGCCGCGGCGTGCTGGCCAGGGTAGGTGAGGCAAGCAATTTTTTCGACACCTTTTCTAGTCCGCTCCTCATGCTATGGAGGTGAGCAGTGCGATCCTAAAAAGGGCTGCTCAGTCGCTCAGGGGGCTGCCGAATCTCGCTCTTGCCTCGGTTCAAGTGAAAGACGACCATATGGCCTGAGCCGCCTGTGTGCAGGTCTGCGTCTACAGCTCCCAGTGTATCCACACCTGCTGCTTCGTCCCTCGCCCAACGCCACAGGGCTTGGAAAAGTTGATGATGGGGGAGGGGGGAGGGGAAGGATGAAGTTGATGAAGATGACTTGCACGTGAGTTGGATTAAAGTGAGGGAGAGTTGCGCATGGTCGTCAGCCTCACTCTCTCGTCCCGGCCCATCTGGGTCCAGTGGCAAGACAAAGTCAAGACGGCTGGAGATGAGAAGGGATGCAGTGGATGGCCAGCAGCGTCCTAGGTGTCTAACTGCATCCTGTTTGCGCTCCACGGCGCTTTGCTGTATCCGCCTTTCTGCCCGTTGAACCAGTCAAGTGGTTTCTTCCGCGCCATCTGCCGGATGCAGTCTTTTGTGTCAGTAGCCCCACCTCCCCAAGGACGAAGCAGCAAATTGCTCTAAACAACGACGGAAAAAATGTCTTGCAATTTCTTGCATTTATAATATTTCCTTCGGATCTCTCCAAAGTCTAGACATTCGGTCAAGAGGTGTCCAACGGTAAAATCTGTGTCGCATCCGACACAAAACGGCTTCTCATCTTCCTGTAGGAGGTATTTGTGGGTCAGGGCCGTGTGTCCGATGTGCAATAGAGTAAAAATGACTTCGTCTCTTCTGGAGAGGTCCGAAGGATTTCGCTGTTCCAGTTTGGGTTTTATAATATACAGTTTATTGTTTTTCTGTTTTTCCCAGTGGCTCTCCCACAGACTGGAGGTGTACTTTTTTACTTTATTTCTAAAGTCAGTCTGAGGGAGAGTGTTTGTTGTTGATCCCAGCAGAAGAGAGGCTTTCTTCGCCAGGTCATCTACCTTTTTGGAGGTAAGAGTGTGTAGTAGTAGTAGTAGTACAGGGTTTTACGGCGCTCTCAACTGCGTAAGGTCATATGAGCGCGCGAAACACAAGTTGGTAGCATTCGCAACAGTTCACTGCACGGTTGGTCGACAATTAGACTTTAAAATGCTAAAATACTAAAATTCCATGTAAATATATTTGCGATTTAAAACAACTCTTATAAATAACAATAAACAAATTTTTAACAATATTGTATCACTTTACAATTTGCCATAAAGGCCAATGGCCTTCATAAAATTCAAAATTTTGCTGGGACCAACGACAGAAAAAATGTCTTGCAATTTATTGCATTTATAATATTTCCTTCGGATCTCTCCAAAGTCTAGACATTCGGTTAAGATGTGTCTAATGGTAAAATTTGTGTCGCATCCGACACAGAACGGCTTCTCATCTCCCTGTATGAGGTATTTGTGGGTCAGGGCCGTGTGTCCGATGCGCAATCGAGTAAAAATAATTTCGTCTCTTCTGCAGAGGTCCGAAGGATTTCCAAAGCCCTGCAACGCTCCTACTGTGAATGAACTTTGATTACCCCAGCAACCGCCAGCCGGTCCCTTACTCTTGCTGCACTCACACAATACGAATTCGCACAGGTTCACTGACCGGTCACGATGACGGGCCTGACAATCCAGAATTCGGAGGACGCTTGTTTTCTTTTTTTTCCCTTTATTTTGTCATTATAGTGAAAACAGTGAGAATATCGATTTAATTTGTATGGCAACACAGTGTTTTTATGCACAAACTGCACGTTACAAATTTTTATTCACTGTAAATCTACCAAACTAGATCTATCATCGGACAATTCTGAGCGGTAACGAAAGTGAAAGTAGATTTTGATTTTCCCGACGGAGTCTCTGTTTTACACATACACTTCCACCTGCCGCCACAGCCGCTAATTCGCGTGAAACGTACTCTCGGACTGGGGAAAGCCGAAAGTAATATCACAAACGTGACCGGTAAAATATGAACTAGAATTTGGTTTCCAGGACTTTGTGCATTTTCTTGGGTTTCAGATTCCCGCAGTCCCCCTACGTAAAATCCTCATTTGGTACTGACCAATTCTCTAGACCAAGACATATTTAAGATTGTTTTGCTTCGATATCGATTTTCTTTCTACATTCAAAATTCTGTTTTCTAGATATAAATTAAATGCACAGATTTTCCAGCCGCAGCAAAACCCAAAGATAAACATAAAGAATGAATGAATGAAAGGAAGGAGGACGATTATCTATCGTGAGTAGACAGATTTTAGGCCATATGCATGTGAAAAACTATTACCGACCAAACTTCACAGATAGACAATGGTCGAGCGTACGAAATACGCAATCTGGCAGTTTCTAATACAACTTATTACCGAGCGTTGCCGTATAGGCCTATATCCGACAAATTACGGTGGCAAGTGCTGATCATAGAGCTGTATGGTGCTAAATCCTCTCTCTCTCTCTAACGCATGGAGTTGATATGATGATGCAGCTAGTACGAAACTTTCGGAAGGTACAGAGTTCCGCAATAACAAAGAAGACTGGAAGCACGGCAGAATTTTTTTTTTCTTCGTCTTTCGGCACCCGTTGCAAATCCGGTAGTTTTGACACCTCTCGATTGGTACGGCGGTAGAATAGGCCTAAAATCGGTAACTACCGGAAAAATCTGTAGATTTAGGCAGCCCTGATAAGTGAAAAGTAACTCGAGTCTCTTGCCATTTCTGATTAAATGGAGGGTCCATTTTAAAAAAGGGAGATGTTACATAGTTGTAATTTATAACGTGTAATTCACTGTAATGCGATCATGAATCATTACGAATGTCCTGCAGTCTAAAACCCACTCGAAGAGGTGTAGAACAGTGTTCAACTAATCAATTAAAAGTTCATTAAACCCGTCTATCTTGACCTCTCTGTGTTATCATTTATTTCTCAATTATATATACGCAAGAGTTTAACATTTCCTACACAACCTAGCAATGCGAACCTGAGCTTACCTCCGTTCAATATCAGCAAGGGTATCCTCAAATTCATCTGGTCGAGCAAAAAGATGCCAGTCCTGTCAATTAAAAAGTATTAAAGTGACACAAAACTGTTGGGTTTCTTAACACATTCAAAGTTGAGTGAAAATGTATACGCAATTTCGGCGCTAATCCGTTGGATTGTCGTCTGTGGTGTAGTAGTTACGCCTTTTCCATCACACGTAGAAGATCAGTTCTAGTGTAAAGACAAATTTTATCAAGTATCTTGGTCTTTCACTTCCTGTTGGGATGTTGTATCTCTCTCACCCGCGGTTGAGCCTGACAGTCAAGGACAAAGTACTAAATGATCTAAATTATGTTGGAGGGGGCATAAAAAAACATAACATTTTTCAAGGCATCGTGGTTAAATCAGGTGCTCATCAAAATGCAAGGCGTCCTGATGAAATCAAGTGCTCGTCAAAATAATAAAAATGAAAAAAACCCCGCATTTTTCAGCCAGTTTGGCAACTTTTTAATCGAAATTTTGTTTTTTGGCTTAACACCTTTATGTCCATATAATACCACATTTCCATGTGTATTTGACTGAAAAACGTTGAAAAAAGGCACAGAATATGTCATTTTTCAGTTTCCAAGGACTCTCAAGCTATTGAAGTTACCAAACTTTGGTGGCCATTTTCTCATTAATTTTAAGACTGAAACCAGGCAATCCCACCTATTCAATCGCAAATATCTCGTTTGATAGATGGGTATTTTTTTTTAAACATTGAAAACAAGTCAGATGAATAAGCTTTTAGTAGATACCAAGAACTCCACTCCACAACCCCAAAAATTGACGAGTGCCTGATTCCCCACATCTGCCAGTTCCACATTTTTATCAAATTCTTGTCTTTTGGCTCACCACCTTTTATGTCCATTTCAAAACACATTACTGAAAGACGTTGATTAAAGGCACACAAAATGTAAATTTTCAGTTTCCAAGGACACTCTTGCAGGTGGTTGGCGGGTGCTCTGGTGTAGTATGCTTCTTTCCTATCAGACATCTATCGTCCTTATCTCTCCTACTTTTTTATGTTTGTTACTTTCTTGTAACACCTCTAATCTTCGCACTTATACAACCTTTGATTTTTAATTGTATTGCAAGGGGCATAAAATACTTACTAAAACTAAAACTCTCAAGTTTTGAAATTGACCAAACTTTGGAGGCTATTTTCTCACAAATTTTGCCTCTGAACAAGACGAGCCCCGCCTCCTTCAATCGCAAAAATATCTACTTATATTCAAGATCAGACAGGGTTTTTTTTGCCCCAAAATCAAGACAAATGCACAAGCTTTTACATGATTCCAATAGCTCCATATGCCCGAAAATTGACGAGAGTCCGATTTCACCACGTCGTGACGCATTTCTTAACCAGTTGAGCTCAAGGTAACTTGAAATAATGATTATTGTAAATTTAAAAAAAAATTTTTTTTAATTCTCTACTCTTTATAATATTTTGTGCTCATAATGTAGTACTGAATGTAGTATCTTGACGAGTGTATATAATTTTATATTGTAATCAGATGAGAAATGCACCCAATTAGAAACACAAACAAACCGGTATAACAAGAGGGAGGGGACTCGAGTGAAGAATCCGTTATTCCAGGATTTGTGTTATAAGGGATCCAGTAATAAATTCAAGGGAAATAATAACATAGTTATGAACAGAGTGAGGGCATTTGAAAACACAACTTTTTATTTTGATAACACCAGCCGTCTAAATAGATGCAACATTTCAGTTGACTTTTGTTTGTACATTGTGACCTGTGACGTCTAGCGCACAGTGGCATTTCACTTAGAATGTGGGGTGCATATATGGTTAGCAGTCGAGGGGTTGAAGAAACAGTAGTACAGCAAATAATATTGATAGTTTGCATGTCATAATTCTAACAGTTACCAGGCCATCATCGGCATATTCTGGGTAGTAGTGACTAAAGTGAAATGGGATTTTGAGAGCATCCAAGTTGGAATTCCAAATTGATGCTACTCTGATATTTGAAACAACATGTGCGGGTCAACTACTAGATCTGGCATCAAGTTCCTACAGGTAAAAAGTCCAACAGGTGCTTCCAACAAAAGAGAAGGCAGAAAAAGTTGGGGGAGGGTTAATTCGGCAAAACATAAAAATCCGGATACACGCAATAGAAACTAGGATGCACAAGTTTTGTAACAAAAAACAGGGATATCCTGATTAAATCCGGATGAGTGGCAGGTGCCCTAGAGAGGAAACTGGTCACATGCGAGATGAAATGCTTAAGAAGAGCGGTCAACAAAACAAGAAGAGACAAAATTAAAAATGAAGTCATAAGGGACACCGTGGGAGCAACACCAGTCCTACCACACATTGAAAAACAAAAGGTCAAGTGGTTCGGACACCTCAGGCGGATGCCCTCAAACCATCCAGCTCTGAGAGCATACAACACTAAATATTCTGGATGGAGAGCCAGAGGAAGACCAAGGCGACGATGGAGTGAATCTGTGGCAGACACCCTTAAAGATCATGGGATGTCCCTCCTACAGGCCACACGACTTGCTGCAGACAGACACCTGTGTCTCCCCGCTACACCCCAGGGTACAAGCGGAAGAAAAAAAGTAAAAGTAAAGTAAAGAGTGGCAGGTCTTTATCAGAACTGTCATTTGATTAACTCGATATCTAAACATCCTCCTGATCAGAATCCCATAAGAACTGTAAAGATTCCTAATCTAAAAATCATTTTGTTACCAACATTGTTCTTCTTCCACAACTGAAGGCCATCATGAAAAGGCCAAACTACTTCAACAACACTTGGTTTTGCAAAAACATACCAAACAATAAGCATCCCCCATTTTCCATCAGGTCACCCACCCAGGAACAGATGCAAGCAAAGATTTCAGTATTAAATAGTCGACCAGTCTGTTGGATTGAGGATCCACTCCGGAAAGTCAAAGGTCCTCAGGACAGATGCAAAACTAAAGGAGCCGTACGCAATAAAAGGAAATGCACTAGAAGATATTGAATCCTTCTGTTATCTTGGGAGTATAATTGACAGAGAGGGAGGAACACGTGCTGAAATAAAGTCCCGCAAGGGAAAAGCACAGGCGGCTTTCATATGGGCAATGATGATGATGATGATTTTCCATCAATATGATGCTTCGAAAGAACTGTATGTCTTGACTGTTTTCCCTTCAACCAAGATATAACTATTGATAAAGATTTTTAGCTTCATAAAGAAATGAAAGGGGTACGAGAATTCTTGTCAAATGCACACTGGTTGAAACCAGCCATGCCAGAATTTTTGTCAGGAGTGGTGAATGAGTTAATCTCTGCCTCCATGGAAAAAATCAGTGGGAAAACAAATAACTGAAGCCCACAGAAATTCAGAGCTCTTTGAAGAGAAAATGAAAGAAGGGACCCCTCGTGGTAGCTGAAGAGGAAAAAGAAAAATAATAGAAGATGAAATTGTAGTAGTATAGCAGTAGTCGGTAGAACAGTAACAGTAGCAGAAATGGCTTTCACAGTGATAACCAAAGCAACAGCAGCAATCAACGGAGAACATGCACTGATAGTAAAATAACTCTCATAGAAATTCTGGAAAAATAGCAGGGTTTTTACTTCTAAAAGAGAACAGTAATTTTTTCCAAACACAATTTTAGAGTAACAGTCACATTATAGTCCTGTGCTTGTGATGACATCAAGACATCATACCCTGGCCTGTCGAAAAAAACAGTTGCACTGAATTCCACAAAGCAGATCAAGAGAGCAAGGCAGAAGAAAAAACCCACCATGGCCTGCAGGAAACCGATCTCCATCTGATTAACATCATCCACATCTTGCTCAGAATTGTTTGCCCATTCATCGTTGAACACTTCCTCATCGACACCTTCGTCATATAAATACTTGCTGGCCATCATCTGTCAGAACAGACATTGAGGGATGGAAAATTACACACTAAAACTCACATTCAACACAATCATCGAGTCTTCCTTTCAAAGTTTTTAAATCCTAAAGTTTATTGCAAGGTAGGTGTGATCAGAGACCTCAAATACTAAGACGACGCAATCCTTCTTCGACCCCTTGTGTGCTGTGGGGAATCTAGACTCTGTGCCGTCTACACTACACTACACAAGCAGTTATCATGCACTGCATGGTGACTTATGCATTACATGTACTAGTAACTAAATGTAGTGGAACTAAGTCATGTTTTATAAGTAGAACGATACACAAATCATGCAAGTGTCATTATCAGAAGAGAACTGGAAGCAAACAAAGAAACACAACAGACTTTTCAAAGGAGCAACTATGTTCACAACAGGGATGCCTGGTTATAAATTTTATATAAATTTTATTTTTTGTGCCTTAAATCAATGGTTTTAAGTAGTAGTAGTACAGGGATTTACGGCGCTAGCAACTGCGTAAGGTCATATGAGCGCGCGAAACACAAGTTGGTAGCATTCGCAACAGTTCACTGCACATTTGGTCGACAATTAGACTTCAAAAGGCTAAAATACTAAAATTCAGTGTTAATATATTTGCGATTTAAAACGACTCTTATAAATAACAATACATTTTTTTTTACAATATTGTTTCACTTTACAATTTGCCATAAAGGCCAATGGCATTTATGAAATTCAAAATTTTGCTGGGAACAACGCCGAAAAAAATGTCTTGCAATTTCTTGCATTTATAATATTTCCTTTGGATCTCTCTAAAGTCTAGACATTTGGTTAAGATGTGTCTAATGGTAGTATAGTAGTATAGTATAAGGTTTTACGGCGCTCGCAACTGCTAAGGTCATATGAGCGCGCGAAACACAAGTTGTTCACCTCTGCGAAAGTTCACTTCACGACTGGCTAACTAATTTACTTTAAAATGCTAAAAAGTTAAAATATTCAAATTCAGTGTAAATACATTTGTGATCTAAAACAACTTTTAAGTAACAATAAAAATTTTAAATAATATCAAATTCACTCTACAACTCGCCATGGCCTTTATAAAATTTTTAATTCTGCTGGGAACAACGACGGAGAAAATATCCTGCAATTTCTTGCATTTATAATATTTCCTTCGGATCTCTCCAAAGTCCAGACATTCTGTTAAAATGTGTCTAATGGTAAAATCTGTGTCGCATCCGACACAGAACGGCTTCTCATCTCCCTGTAGGAGGTATTTGTGGGTCAGGGCCGTGTGTCCGATGCGCAATCGAGTAAAAATGACTTCGTCTCTTCTGGAGAGGTCCGAAGGATTTCGCTGTTCTAGTTTGGGTTTTATTTCGTATAGTTTATTATTTTTCTGGTTTTTGTTTTTGAGGCAACCGAGCCAGGCGATCAGCGCGATCGGCCGATCCCATCCGTAGTGGCACCCCCCTATCAGCATATATTTCTTTCATCGCGGCCCTTATTGCGTTCACGTGCCATAGAATCTTCGCATTGATAATTTCTCTAGATCTAGGCAAATTTGCAATGAAAAGTTTCTTTCTGACAGTAATTTTCTGTCTAAGATCACAAGTCAATTTACTTGATCAACACGCAGATTTTCCAGCCGCAGCAAAAATCCGAAGATAGACAGAAGGAATGAGTGAATGATAGAAAGGAGGAAATTGGCACATAAGGTTCGCCAGATTTTGATCCATCTGCAGGTAAAAAATGTACTGCCGACCAACCCGCATTGAATGCATGGGACATTGTGGAATAACGGCCGATAGCAGGAAATACGCAATCTGGCAGGTTTCTATAACTTTAACCTGTTGCCGAGAGAGTTACCGTAAATATCAGTAACTTATACAAGACGATAAGAAGGCGAGTACGGAAATTCGGCAGTCCTGCGCTGTCGCAGTTTTTTTTTACGGAGGGAGTAGATAATGATGGAGGGACAAGTACAGAAATGGCAGAAAGAACGGATTTCTGTAAAAATACGGAAGAGTGGAAGCACTGAAGATAAAAAATGTCCTGGAATTATTGGAATACATTGTTAGTATGCTCATTGCAATCAAAGTAATCAACGTGAGTTTTGTAAAATCAAAATCGAAAGTTAAATGTCAATGTCTACCCAAAAAAAACAACCCCCAACAGCATGGATGTCGCATGGTGTACAAAAACAGTTTGTACCCTGACACATGCGTCAGGTCCTTAAACTTTCGCTGACGTTGGGCAGGTGTGACCAGTATGGTTTTGGGGCTGTTCAAATATAAAATTTTATACCTTTTCAGGGACTCTCCCCCCCCCCCCCCCCCCATCCCGTAATACTAATATTTATTTGTTTATAATAATGTGACATTTATATTGCGCAAATCTGTGTTACAATCATTGTTCTATGCGCTTTACTTTTACATGATAATATTATTCATGAAAAACATGCATACACACAAGTGACATAATAATTAAATACAGTATAAGCAGAACTTTTCCGCAAAAACTTTGCAATGTCATTTTACCATTTTAACAGCACTGGTGTAATCAAAATTAGAATAGATCTAGATCTCCATGTTATGTAGCCTAGATATCTACCAGTGTATAGTCAAGTTTACTCTTTTTTTTATGTCTTGTGTTATGTTTTTAAAAAACTATGTTGTCATAAATTATTTTCCTTGTTAATTTTTCACCGTTTTGAAATTCCCCCCCCCCCCCCCCCCCCCCCCCCCGAAAAACCAGTATTCAGAGCTAGAGACTGGACTGGTGAAAGGGTCCAGTAGTCAGTGAGTTACGAGGTGGGACTTCCAAATGATTTATCCATGCCTGGCTGCATTTGCTTAAAGGACAAACATGTGTCACGACCCAGTGAATCAGGCGCTCATCAATTTTTGGGCATGAGGAGGTAATAATATCATCTCAAAGTTTGTTCATTTGCCTTGCTTTTTGTGAATAGAAGTCGAAATATTTGAGATCGATTGAGGTGGGGGTCGCCTGTTTTCAGAGATAAAATCAGCGAGAAATGTCCACTAAAGTTTGGCGACTTCCAAAGCTGGAAAGTCCTTGAAAACTGCAAATTGACATTTATTTCTTCAACTTCATTATTTTGATGAGCGCCTGATTTCACAATTCCTCACACATGTATATATATACAGTCGAGTCCACTTATAACGAGTCCGGAAAAAACGAGAAGTCTGTTATAAAGACACTATTCTAAAACCCCGTTTTTTTCTCTTCTTTACCTTTGTAAATAAAATACTGCTATAGCGCAATCAGACAAACACTCGAGTCGGTTATAGCGGAATATTGCTGCTGCTGTGCACAGTGCATAGGCCAATTATACATCATGTAAAACCTCGCCAGTTGAAAAACTTGTTGGTGATCTAGCGAAACAAAGAAAGGAAGAGCCCATGTGTGTCAATAATGAAGGCCGGAGCGACTGAGTAGGGAGGGTGTGGCGTGTGCAGACAAGCAGAACGCATCGCGTGATAGGCCAGCGTAAACCTAGTTTAGATTATCAAGGCCTACCATGCCTCTCACTTCTCCGATGCAGGGGTGGAGAGGTCAAAGCAATGTAATGGATGGAGCGAATGAGTGACGTGCGCAAGCTGACGGAATGCACCACAGGGTGTGATGGGGTGGGGGACAACACAGCAGGTGAGTTAGCCCAGAGCCCTTTCTTTGTGATCGGCAACGCCGAGCTGTCAACATTGCTAGATCTAGCCCTAGAGAAAGAAACCTGATTCGATATTTGATCAAGTAAGACCATGTAAGGTCATGTTGAAACCAAATTATTATCAGGGGAGATAGCAAAAGGAAATAAACAGAACACCAAACGCATAGATTAAGCCTACTTTACCATTTCCCTTGAATTTATTACTGGATCCCTTATAGCGAGAATCCTGCTATAACGGACATTTTGCTCCAGTCCCCTCCCTCTCGTTATAACAGGATTCCACTGTATATTTTTTTTTTTTCGTAAATATGACAAAAATTGTATATTCATGTATTTACAAAGTTAAAAGTAAAGTATACACAAAGGAAGAGATAATGTAAACTGCAAAAGCTAACTACATTGAGAAACCACAAAACTTTGATATTCAACATTATAAAAACAACCAGCCAACAAACCATTGAAATGAAGAATACATCAGAGGAAGACATTGATCCTAGGTAGTCTGTGTTGCACTGACGAAGCCTCTTGGCATACAGCATTGACATGACCATAGAGCAGGGTGACACTCTGCTGCGCCTGGAGGAAAATTAATTGTATTTGACTGGTATTATATAGCAGAAATTTTTCAACTCCCATCAACAGAATCAAGATCATTTAAGAGGGCCACTTTGGCTAAGAAAGATCCAAGGATACAACATCCCAGAAGAAAGATGGAGCTAAATATATTATATGCTGTGACTTCCCATCACTTTAATAAGAAGCTACAGCTACACATGCCATCCAAGAACCACATGGGCTACATCAATGTCTGCAACTTTTCACTTACAAGTGAATTGGCACAATTTCAATTATTCAGGACATGGGCAGGTCCCCAACACACATCAAAACTCATATGGTCACAAGATCACATGATGCACACAAGTGGCAGAAATTCCGTTTCACTGACTGGTCTTCATGACATGCCCAACTAACCAAAATTTGAACGAACCTTTTTTTCTAAGTGCAAGTGCTTTAAATCATGCAGAAAGACGAATTTAGATAATTTAGATAGAATTACTATGTATGCAATGCACAAGAAGCATGTCTTTATTACTATCACCAGACCGTCATCAGAAAATTGTACATGTACATGGTCAAAAGCAAAAGTAAATTTTCATTTTCCTGATCAAGACTGCCAGGACATGAAACATTTATGACTTTCATGACTTCACTTCCATCATAATCGTCTGTTTATTTAAGACACTTTAGGAAAGGGGAAAGCAGAATGAATGCTACAAATTCGACTGAAAATAAGCAAATTTTCTGACTTTACCAGTACCAGGTTGAGTTTTCAAAGTTTGGAAAACAACAAAACCTCTTTTCCCTGGGCTTTCCCCAGTCGATTTACCACTTCTTTAAATTCCCAGGCATTCCTAGGTTTTCAGCAATTTCATTCATATTCCCAGTAGTCAGGCTGGTACTTTTACATCACAATGTAGTTGTTTATTGTACATACAGTCAAAAAGAAAAAGCATGTAGACAGTATAAAGTAGGGCTGTACCCCGGTAGCAAACCCGCTCGTGCTCACAAGATCCTAGTTCAAGTCACAAGCCTCAAATCACTAGGTCAAATCATCAAATCAAATCACCAGCATGATAAGTTGAGTCTAGCGCAAACTGTAACCTCCTTGGTCTAGTCTAAACTTCAAGTCTAAAGCAACTAGCAATCCGCGAAGCCACTCGTGTCAGGCCCCCTCATCATCCCCACCCTGCTTGCAATCCGCGAAGCCACTTACGTCAGAAAAAGAGAGGGGGGGAGAGTGAGAGATCTCGCCCACAGAGTCACTGCGCGGCGTGGCGCTGTAGTTTACTCGATTAATCGAAGGCCTGCGCAAGCCTTAAGTCCCGTCTGCAGACACAGGCCCCCAAAATTCACACAGTACTGATTTGCGCTAGGCCTAGAGATTTGCCCCAGGACAAGCTCGAAACCTGACCTGCTGAATTGTACTGTCTCGATACACCGAGCGAGCGGCGCGCCGTAGGACCGCTCGACGGCGACAAGACCGCCCGATGGCGACAAGACAGTCCGATGTGTTCAAACAGCAAGTACTGCTCGCTGTGTGAACTTTGAACCGTGGAGGAAGGGAGAGGCTGGGCTTGTTTTGGTGCAAGGCGTAGAGAGCTGAAGTTATTTTTAACTTCCCGCCGTTGATCAGCTAAGCGAATGGATAAGTGAGAGGGAGCGTGGTATTGAAGTAACAGAGACCTAGGTTTCTGGTAGTAATAAGAATAAGTTGACTTAGATTACCCTAAAATGGAAAACTCCAGGGGTCGTTGTGATTGGCTTTTGTATTGTATGTATGTAACCTATTTTGTAGATGTGTTACACTCACAGTGACATAATACAGAACATTTAGGAGACGGGCTAGGCCTACTTCAACTCAATGTCAGGACCAACCTGGGCTGAGAGGGAACAACGCCCAAGCAGAAAGACGGAGGTTCTCAGTAAAAATTTCTCCCCATACGGGAATCGAACTGAGGTCTTTTGCGTGCGACGATGAAGCGATTGGCTCGTGCACATTAAAAATAAACAGGCCTTAACATCATAAGAATAGCCGAACCAATATTAATTTTTAAGTGCATTGAATAGAGCTTTTTGTTTTTTTACAACCGAACTATGAAAAAAACCCAACCGATCTTGCACTTTTGGTGCCAGCCTCTCAACGCAAATAACCAGAGAATCTTCTGTAATATGTACTGAGCCCACTGCCACGAGAGTTCGCGACATCACGACACAGTACAGTAGGACTGTCCGCAAGTCACAACTCACCGGAAGTTCCCTCCGGTAGCAAGCGGGAGGCAAATCAAACCACAAGCCTGCTCGCAAGACTCTAGCGCAAGACGTCCGCTGCTTTGCAAGCCTTCGATTAACCGAGCAGAATCCAGCCCTAGTATAAAGGTCATACTTGATGTCTAAACGGGCCACAACTATGAAGAAAAAAAGTTTTTAAAAGCCAGTCAATACACTTTGAACGGCTGGAAATTTTTTTCCCCACAAAGCAATTATTTTTATGAAGTTTGAAAGCCCTCAAAAGGACAATTCATATTTTATACCAATAGTGACAGAAAAACCAAACAATGGAATGAAAAACATTTCTTTGCAAAAGGCACAAAATAAAGACCACATGATTTCCACTTACTTGACCAAATTTGATGCCACATCCAAGTCCACATGACCTAGTTGCTGCGATACACTTTCCTTGAAATATTCAACAGTCAACTCTAAAAAAAAAATTTTTAAATATGAATATTAAATATGAGATTTCCTTACACAGAATTATAAGGAGTGTGTCTGGAAAAAAAAACAAGGACGACAAGCATTTCAAATGATTTTACCACAAACAAGTCAGGCGCAAAAAAAAGGGTATAATCTGTTGTGCAATCAACAATTAAAGGACCACAGGGGGCTCTTGTGGCCTTAGAGGTTAGAGCTTGTTCACTTTTGTCTGGCAGCGTTTAAAAAATTCTAGATCACTGAGGAATTTACTTATGCCCACAAAACTTTGAATGTGACTTCTGAAGGCCAGCGACCAAACAAAAATATTTTTTCAAAAAATCTTGATCCAGTAATAAAAAAGTTTTTCTCTTTGGGCCCTATACTAAAAATCGCCCTTTTGGTGCATGCGCAGGATCACAGCAATAATTGATTTACTGTAATTTAGCCCACAAAATTCCCATTTTGAGACACTGCCACCACTGTGCCCCCACATTTCAATGTATTAACATAGTTTTACCGCCTAAGGCTGTCAAGACGTCATCATGTGCGTCTTGAAAACTACTCCCATGTATTGGACCTTGTCTCTCATAGGCGTGAACTCACTGTTTTTTACAAGTGGGTCAAAGGGAATAGAAGAGAGCACGATTTCATGAGTTCAAAATCTAACTGAATGCAAATGTCACTTTGTCTTCAGGTTCATTACAAGTTGTCATTGTTATTGTTTACTTGTCCATCCTATTCAATCAATGAATGTGAATCGAGTCAACGGTTATAGTTATAATATACCATAGCGCTCGCACTAAAAGGAGTAGAGATACATAATTATACCGCGCTTATACACAAAAATACAAATCTACGAGCATGCATGCACGCGCGCCCTCGCACAAACAAGCACACACACACAATGCCGCACATAGGCCTACTCCTTCCCTCCACCATACATCACATACATCATGACAAAATTAATTATTCTTTCCACCACTTCAACCCCCCCCGCCAACCTTTCTCATGTTAGCATCTAGAGCGGATAGCGAGAGCGCAAAGGCTTGTCCATGGCATAATAATAATATTAAGATTGACAGTTTTGACATGGCATATAAATTTCTCCGTTGCACAGGCTGACATTTTATCAGGCCTCAACTATTTAGCCTATGTCTAGACTTTCCGAGCCCCCTCCCGAAAAAAAACACCAAAACACGGTAGAAGTAACTCAAGCACCATACCATCACTAGTTTTACTTTAGGACTCCAGTCCAGCGGATGCTTGTCCGTGCATGATAATAATCAGTATGTCTCTAAAACAAAGCTACCCGAGTGCACAAGCTGTGTGTGGTGCAAACACCACACACAGCTTGTGCACTCAGGTACCTTGTACAAAACATTTTGTCGTCAAGCTCGACGAGGCAGACTTTATTGTTCTATAGGTAACCCTAAATCCCGAGTTAAGAAAATCTTAAAGATGTTTCTATCCGGGCGTTTAGTTGAACACTACTTGTGTGCATTTCCACATTCAATACATCTAGATCTTAGTCAGTCGAAATCTTCAAAGAAAAATAAAGTCGATGATTTTGATAAATGTGCTATCAAGAGGCTGATCGTCAAATTGTTTCACAACGAGCTGTTGACTTTGCGGAAACTGAAACAAAATGTGAAAACAGAACTGAATCTCAAAGTTGGAAAAACCATGATGTGGAAAACTAAGAGGTGCTGGATTTTCATTTAAAAAACGAGCACGGCACAGTAAAAAGATTTTAAGTGAAAGATCTGATCCCATTGTGTCAAGCAGCAAATACCCCTCATTCAGCAGAAACGGTCAGAGGGCTATGACAGTATATCTTGATGAAACGAGGATAAATGCCCACCACACTAAGGAAAGAGAATGGCAATCGACAGATGGGACGATGGGACAAAATTATGTGCCCAGCAGGAAAGGTGAAAGCTGATCATCGCCCACACTGGTAGCAAGAACTCTGGGTTTGTCTCTAGCGCTGCTCTTGTTTTCCAGTCCAAGTCAACTGATAATAGAGATTATCACACAGAAAGGAACAGTCATTGAAGAGTGGACGACAAATCAAGTGCTTCCAACACTGGACAGACCGTCATGTATTGTAATGGACAATGCCAGTTATCATAAACGTATAGCTGAAGAAGATAAAGTTCCATCTTTGAGCTGGCGGAAGACATTGAAGCCTGGCAACACACAGTGTTCCATTCCCTTTTGGTGCCCTCAAACCAGAGCTAGCACGTATAATTAAACTTTATAAAAAAACAAAGACTTTTGCTAAAGACAAAATAATTGCTGAGCATGGTCACACAAGTCTCAGACTGCCAGCTTATCATGCACACCTCATTCCCATTGAACAAGTTTGGGCAAAGATTAAAAAATAACATCGCTACCAGAAACACAACCTTCAAACTACTTTTTGACTGCACAAGCCATTGACAAAGTAGACAGCGAATATTGGGAAAAATGTGTTGATCATGTTGTTAAACGCCCCGGCAGGTAGGGGGCCCCATAGTAAAACTGTACTATGTTTCACTATGGGGGAGCAAAGAATACATCTGCCATGATACTGCGTGTCGTAAGAGGTGACTAAAAGTGCAACGGTCTGGTAGCCCAAAAAAAGCTAGTTTGCGGGGGGCCAACTACCAAAACCAGTTAAAAACAGTAAGCTACAGAAACATGGACAAACACAGTTTTATATTTTTCTATCTTGGCAGACGGAGGAGCTCCTGCATCAGCAGGAACAATGAAAGACAGCGGACAAAGCCGAAAGGACTCTTCTGACCCGAAACCTTATCTGTCGAACAAGTCTCTCCGGATTGCGTCGTGGAATGTTCGCACCTTGTATGAAAGAAAGAGTTCTCAAGTAGTACAAGAGATAAAGAGATACAGGTTGCACATACTAGGAGTCAGCGAAACACACTGGATATAGTCTGGAAAGAAGCAGCTCAGCTCGGGGGAACAAGTATTGTATTCTGGGAGGGAAGACAAGTACCATGCGGAAGGAGTGGGAAAAATTTTGAGTAAGTGTGCACAGAAGTCACTTAGAGGATGGGAACCACATGGGGAAAGGATCATCATGGCTTCATTCACTACAAGGAGCAAGAGCATCAATATGAATATAGTCTAAAAAACGCCTCAAATAATGATGCTTCGGATGAAGACAAGGATGCCTTTTACAGCCAGCTCCAGGGGGGTCATCGACAAACTACCAAGGAAGGATGTCAACATCATAATGGGAGATGCCAATGCCAAGATTGGTCAGGACAACGTGGGTTATGAAAGAATTATGGGACAACATGGCTTGGGACAAATGAATGAAAACGGTGAGTGATTCGCAAATATATGTGCTTTCACCAGTTTTGTCAATGGAGGCTCTGTTTTTCTCCACAATAGGACTCACAAGGCCACATGGGTTTCGCCAGATGGAGTGACGGAGAACCAGATAGATCATTTTTGTATCTCTCGTAGGTTCAGGTGTTCACTGGAAGATGTCAAAGTACAGAGAGGGGCAGATGTTGGATCGGATCATCATCTGCTGTTGGCAAAACTCAAGCTTCGACTCAAAAAAGCACGGAACCAGCACTGGAGTCAAAAGAACGAAGTTCCAAGTAAGTCTCTTGGACGGACATAAGAAAGAAGAGTTTCAGCTGCAACTGAGGAACAGATTTCAACCTCTGGCTGATCTTGGCGGAGAGGACACGGAGGTGGATACACACTGGACCAAGGTCAAAGAAGTCTTTACATCAACATGTCAAAAAGTACTCAGTGTGAAGAAATGGGAGCACAAGGAATGGATTAGCCAACACTCATTGGATTTAATTAGGATAAGAAGGCAGCTTGATTGATTGGGTAGATGTTTTACGGCACTATAAATCTTTTTATAAATATGGAAAAGGCTTATTTACATTTGTATATACAACAATAATTTCAGTGTATGTATATATACATCGATAACGAAAACTATATATCCTCATATTCTATTAAATAGTCCAATTTCTTTTACATAAATTAAAATTTCCCTAGGGTCCACGATGTCAAAAGGGTCTTAATATCTTTACATTTAAAATATTTCTCACGAACATAATTTAATTCGACACATTCCGTTAGGATGTGCCGAACTGTGAAATTTGTGTTGCACGCCACGCAAAAAGGAGTAGTAGTAGTAGTACAGGGTTTTACGGCGCTCGCAACTGCGTAAGGTCATATGAGCGCGCGAAACACAAGTTGGTAGCATTCGCAATAGTTCACTGCACGGTTGGTCGACAATTAGACTTTAAAATAATTATTCTTGTTTTTCTATGGTCGTGTTGTTGACGGCCTTTCGATGCGCTTCTTTTTCTTTACTGCATCCTCACATTCCCAAGAGAACCAGATCTTGTTCCTCCGGGGTTTTGTTTTTGCTTTAGGTATGTGTTTTTGGCATATTTCTAAAAGCTTTTCGTGGAATTTATTGTAGATGAGGTCAAAATTGGGATTAAGAATCTGGGAACATTGATTGGCAAACCCGTCCCAGTCGGCTTTTTTGAAGTTGAAGCGTTCTGGGATCGGGTCGTTTTGGAGGCTATTGTTTTGGAGAAAAATTGGGAAATGGTCCGTATGGTCATCCAGCACAGACCACTCAAGATCTGGGACTAGGTCAGGGGTACAAAAGGTGAGGTCAAGGGATGAAGTGCCATAAGTAGTTCTGTTTCTGTAAGTTGGGGACCTATCATTTAAGAGACAGATGTTATTTTGAAATAAAAAGTTTTCTATTATTTTTCCTTTCTGGTCTGTAGGTTTGTCTCCCCAAAGGGGGCTGTGGGCATTGAAATCACCTAGCAAAATAAAGGGTTTTGGAAGCTGAGCCTTTAAGTCATTTAGTTGGGTCATTTTAAGGGGGTAATTTGGTGGGATATAAACTGAGCAGATCGTGATTGGTTTGTGCAGGGTGACCCGTACAGCAATAGCCTGGAGGGTCGTCTTAAGATGTACTTGTCTGTGGAGTGTGTTGTTGTCGGTGTAGATGGTGGTACCACCAGGGTTGGGTTGATTTAAATCAAGTTGATTTAAACCAGTTGATTTTTTAAATTTAAATCAACTTGATATCACTTTTTTTTAAAATTATTTTTATTCAGTTTTTACACATTTCAACATTCAGAATTCCTTTCCTTGGTTTCATAAAACAGATATAAGGTTTAGTAGACTAATATAATCATGCTTAAAAGTCTGCTTTCCCCCCTTTCATTGTAAAATAATACAGTATTCATTTTATATATTTTTTTCATAATTGAAATCAGAGCTGGGTTGATTTAAATCAGTTGATTTTTTTTTTTAATCAACTTGATTTTTAAAATAAAAATCAGTGATTTAAATCACTTTTTTTTTAAAAATGTATTCAGTTTTTACATATATTTAAACATTCAGAATTCCTTTCCTTGGTTTGATTAAACAGATATAAGGTTTAGTAGACTAAAATAATCATGCTTAAAAGTCTGCTTTCCCCCTTGTCACTGTAAAATAATAGTTCTCAATTTACTTTTTTTTCATAATTGAAAACCAGGGTTGGGTTGATTTAAATCAGTTGTGTTTTTAAAATTTAAATCAACTTGATTTTAAAAATAAAACTCAGTGATTTAAATCACTTTAAAAAATGTATTCTGTTTTTACATCTTTAAACAATCAGAATTCCTTTCCTTGGTTTTATAAAACAGATATAAGGTTTAGTAGACTAAAATAATCATGCTTAAAAGTCTGCTTCCCCCCCCCCCCCCCCCCCCCCCCTCTGTCACTGTAAGTAGTAAAATAATACTGTATTCAATTTACTTTTTTTTCATAATTGAAATTAGCATTTTCTTTTTCTTTTTAGACAAACACAAGCGCGCGCACACACACACACTGTAATAAAAATGCAAGTTTATCTATGCATAATTAGCCCCCCCCCCCCCCTCCCCCTTCCTTTCAGACTGACATTTTCTTCATTTTTTTGTCTGTAGCCATAATTCACTGATATAGCAGATTAAGGCTTTCTAAAATTGCAGTTGCTTAAATTAATCATTAGTTAAAATAAAGACAATGCATTTTGCACTAAAAGACCTTACTTTTAGCTACCAAAAATCCCAAACTGTGTCGACATTTTTTTTTTTTGAAAAAAATTTTTAAACATCTGATTTAAATTTAAAAAATCTGATTTAAATTTAAAAAATCGAATTTTTTTTTTTTATAAAAATTTTTTTTAAAACCATCAACCCTGAGTACCACCGGAAACAATCTGGTTCTCCGTGTGAATGTGATGGTACGCAGTAAATCCTCTTAAGTCTATGGTTGAAGCCGGGGCAAATTTTGTTTCTTGAAAACAGGCCACCCGTGGGCACAGTGTGGCCTGTAAGTGTTGCAATTCTGCAATGAGAGGTCGAATTCCGCCGGCATTCCATTGCAGGACCACCATTATATCTTTTTAGCTTTGATTTTGGAGCTCAAAGGCCCCGGCTTCGAAGAAACACTCTGACTCCTCCTTGCGGGGGAAGCAGAGTGTTTTCTAGGTTGCTGTCCTGGATTGGATGGCAGTCTAGTGGGGGATTTGGAGGAGTGATAGACTCCGCATTTCCCGGGGTCAGGCCGGACCCGCATGCAAAGATCCAGAAAGATCAAACAGAGGGATTTGATTTTATCCCGTTTTAACTGCAGTCAAGCGAAAGTGAACGAACTATAAGGTGCAAACATCTCATTCAAAGGTCCCGCGTTCGAATCCGGGTAACGACCAAGACATTTCCTTCTCTAAAACGGTTTCCTTTCACCTCCTTTCCTGCTCTCTAGCAATGTTCTGTCATGTCATCTGCTTTCATCTCCATTTTCTGCCCCCACCCTCCCTTGCCCCCTCCTCTGGGCTCCTGACTCTTTCTGCAGCCTTTCTACTGCTACTCCTTGGCTCTTTCTTACTGGTGTCTTTCAACCACACCCCTGATCTTCTGGTAGGAAAGATCTACACCTAGCCTTCTTGGGCAAAGGCGTAACATCTCAGAGGTCCCATGTGCAAGTTGCGCACGTTAAAGATCCCTTAGAGGTCTAAAATCAATAAGAGTAGGCTTCGGTTGCCACCCGTGCAAAATTCAAAATTTCCTACAAGTCTTGAACAAAAAGCTACAATATAGATCTAGTTATAATTTACTATCACCCACCCAACGAAACGCTAACACTTCAGTTCAGTAACACGGCTTACAAGGTATGAAGGATCCCGATTCAACACACTGCCTGCACCAACGCGCGCTTTGCTGAGAGCTCTAAATCTAATCAAATTAAGAAATTTGCTTCAAAGTTTTTATCCTCTGGTGTTGCCTTCACCAACGCCACGCCACCCCCCTCCCCCCCGTGTATCTTTTTTAAAAAAAAATCAATAATCCCCTGCCCAATTCCGTTGTCTTATACAACGTTCAGGCTTTGAATGAACTTTGGCGACACCAACAAGCCCCTGTGCTAACATGATGTCGTAGCCTGTCTTGTGATGCGAACGCCAGCAGGTTCACTGACCGGTCATGTCGGCAAGCCCGACAATCTAAAAATCTGATGACGCTGGTATTTTCTTTTCTTTTTTTTTCCACATGTGACAGCACAGTCACGAGTCCGAATATCGATTAAATTTTATTTGCGCAGCGACACAGCGTTTATACTGCACAACCTGCATGTCACATAATAATGTTGCGTTATCAGACTAGGGTCTTCATTTTCCCGATCAAGCTTCGGTGTCACATACATGTACACTTCCGCTAGCCGCCATAGCCGCCTGTTCTGACATGGACGATTAACACGTTCTACAAGCATATTATTTTAGATTATCAACAGACAAAAGTGACATTGCCCAAGATCTGTAACTTGTATGTCAGGACTTCAGTATTCCTCGATACCAACCAAACGTTTCAGTAACAAAACTCACTAACAATTCTTAGAACAAACTCTCAGAGAGACCACAGCATTAAAAAGGCAAACCCTTTTATTTTCCCCACTGATGATCTGTGCAAGTACAGCACTCACTGTTCAGTATAAAAAAACATAAGAACAGAAATAAAGTAACAAAAAGTCAAAACACAAATAACTTCATAGCTACAAACTTTTCAAAACAAAACAAAAACAGACCCTACCAATGCGGCTGGTCAAGATGGTCGGATTCACAAAGTAATCTCCCTCTAAATCCTTCACACTTCACACATACTTTTTTGCATGCAAATAAATTCAAGCATTCAAAGTAGACCTGTACCAAAAGATCTCTCAAACTGACTTAAGCTTCGTTTTCATTTGATGATGATTATTATTATGATGATGATTATTATTATTACAAATCGAGTCTAGAAAGTTCATTATTTTTCTTCAACGTCATTTCATATTGAGCAAAACTGGAAAATAGAGAATGACATATTATTTTCCTATACAAAAACAGCGGAGTAAACTGACTACCCTCGAGTAGCTCAAGGACATTTCAGAGTACACGTACTAATGTGTTAACAGTGCCTCTGCACACACCTGTAAGAGGAAGAGAAGGACTGTCCAGGCTTGCCTTGTCACCATAGTACAGTCTCCGCCGCATCCGTTTCCTGAAGTTCGCATCCATCTTCTTTGAAAGTAAAATCAAATAAACATTTAAAAGTGCATCAAACATGGTTGCAAAATATGCCATGGACATAACAGTAATAATAACAAAATCTGCAAAATATACAATCAAGATTAATTAAAATTATATCATGAAACACAATACTATGCAAACGAGGACTGCGCTGTCACTTTACTAGAAAAGTTTTGGCAATCAGGTGATATAAAGTCCAATGACTTATTATCCTTTCTACTCTACCAGATGGATAGCAAATAGCCTCAAGGAGGTTCTCAGGTTCTTGTTGTACATAGATTTGACACCATGACGCAAAAACCACGTCCTATTTGGCTTACCCTTCACTCAGGGCCGAAGGGTACAGAGCACCACAAGACAAATGAATAATAATACAGTAAAACCCGGATACAACATACTCGACTGAAAACATATTCTCAACTCTAACTTGGTCAAATATTTATTCTGTGTAGTCTGGAGTCCCAGTTAGATCTGGTACCATTTAAAATTAGGGTTATTTATATTTATATATCTAAAACGTTCCTGTGTAAAACGTTCTTTTCGCTAATAATGTTCACTTTTCAAGGCCCTTCAGAAGTGATCTAAAGTTCCTTTGTGCATTGTGAGAATAGAGAACTAAGCAAAAAGTGACAGTTTTGTTTGTTAAGTACAGGGTTTTACGGCGCTCGCAACTGCATAAAGATGAGCGCGCGAAACACAAGTTGGTAGCATTCGCAACAGTTCACTGCACGGTTGGTCGACAATTAGACTTTAAAATGCTAAAATACTAAAATTCGGTGTAAATATATTTACAATTTATAACAACTCTTATAAGTAACAATAAAAAATTTTAATAGTACAATTTCCCTTTATAATTTGCCATAATGGCCAATGGTCTTCATAAAATTAAAAATTCTGCTAGGACCACAACGGAAAAAATGTCTACCAATTTCTTGCATTTATAATATTTCCTTCGGATTTCTCCAAAGTCTAGACATTCACTTCAGTTAAGATGTGTCTAATGGTAAAATCTGTGTTGCATCCGACTCAGAACGGCTTCTAATCTTCCTGTAGGAGGTATTTGTGGGTCAGGGCCGTGTGTCCGATGCGCAATCGAGTAAAAATGACTTCGTCTCTTCTGGAGAGGTCCGAAGGATTTCGCTGTTCTAGTTTGGGTTTTATTTCATATAGTTTATTATTTTTCTGGTTTTTGTTTTTGAGGCAACCGAGCCAGGCGATCAGCGCGATCGGCCGATCCCATCCGTAGTGGCACCCCCCTATCAGCATATATTTCTTTCATCGCGGCCCTTATTGCGTTCACGTGCCATAGAATCTTCGCATTGATAATTTCTCTAGATCTAGGCAAATTTGCAATGAAAAGTTTCTTTCTGACAGTAATTTTCTGTCTAAGATCACAAGTCAATTTACTTGATCAACACGCAGATTTTCCAGCCGCAGCAAAAATCCGAAGATAGACAGAAGGAATGAGTGAATGATAGAAAGGAGGAAATTGGCACATAAGGTTCGCCAGATTTTGATCCATCTGCAGGTAAAAAATGTACTGCCGACCAACCCGCATTGAATGCATGGGACATTGTGGAATAACGGCCGATAGCAGGAAATACGCAATCTGGCAGGTTTCTATAACTTTAACCTGTTGCCGAGAGAGTTACCGTAAATATCAGTAACTTATACAAGACGATAAGAAGGCGAGTACGGAAATTCGGCAGTCCTGCGCTGTCGCAGTTTTTTTTTACGGAGGGAGTAGATAATGATGGAGGGACAAGTACAGAGATGGCAGAAAGAACGGATTTCTGTAAAAATACGGAAGAGTGGAAGCACTGAAGATAAAAAATGTCCTGGAATTATTGGAATACATTGTTAGTATGCTCATTTCAATCAAAGTAGTCAAC